TCAAGTATATCAATAACAAAAATGATCACCTCAAGTATATCAATAACAAAAATAATCACCTCAAGTATATCAATAACAAAAATGATCACCTCAAGTATATCAATAACAAAAATAATCACCTCAAGTATACCAATTATAACAAAAATGATCACCTCAAGTATATCAATAACAAAAATGATCACCTCAAGTATAAAAATAACAAAAATGAACACCTCAAGTATATCATTACACCAAATTTTATCACCTCCAGTAGATCAGCAAACCAAATTTATCAAGTAGATCATTACATTTAAATAATTATTTACTGATCGATGATTAACTTGAGTTAGTTGTCTCCCATGAAAACTGCAATTAAATCTCCATTTCCATTAACATCAACGTGCAACTCATTAAACTTATCGTACAGAACGTGTATTTGTGGTGTGCCAGATTGAAACAACTAGAGAAATGGCTAGAATCATGGGAATGAAACTTTGATGAAGTGCAGTTCTTTTAAAGTAGGCTTTCCTCTACATTTATCCTATCGTATTCCATTCTACTTGGGTATTCGTTTTGAATATTTTCTAGTCACATTTCTGAAATATAATAGAATGGATTTCCATTTCTCCTCATCCAACCAACTTGATGAAATAGGGTGTAAAAAAAAATAACGTTCTTTAATATCTAAATCATTCGAAATATATGTCGTATCTTCTCTTCTAGTACTTGACAGCTTAAATAATGGATACAAGTCTATTGCAGCTTCAACAGTATTTCCTGCAAATGCTGCAAGCCTTTGGAAAAGATAATATCCATCAGTTATTCCGAGTTCAACATAAAAAAGATGAACAGCCCATAAAATGATTTTGTTTACTGAGACCGTCATTGCTCAAGGCAGCAAGGTTCTCTAATATTGAACAATCTTCTTTCATCACTGTCATCATTTTATCTGCTACTCGTTCTCCTTTTGCACGTCGAAACATTAAAAACTTATAAAATTGTACCCAGAATTCATTTTTTTTTCTATTGACCAACATCTAATATGTAGTTCCATCTGCTTTTTGACTTACAGTGTTGTGGCTTCATCATAGTGAACTGTGTATGACCCAGCAGATTTCTTTATACCATTCACAAATATACCCTTCACCAAACCCATCTGATACGATACAGGACAGTGTTTTTCAACCTTTACAATAACAGATACCAGCTCGCTGCTGCCTCCCTAAACTGTCACAGACTACTAAACCACAATTACAACAACAACAACGAAGAAAAAAAAACATTACAATTTGCATATGAGTATTCTACCAGTTTTTGTTTGTTTTCATGGAATCCCATGGACTGGCAAGGTAGTTGTGACAGGTTGAAAAATACTGATACAAGAATCTTTGCTTTGAGATATGTTCAAGTTTGATGCTACTCGACTGTCAGGAAACATAACTATAAAACTGTCCATATACATTCACGTGAACAGTAGCTTTGATTTGTCTCGGCCATGTTTATAAACCACATCCATTCAGCTTTTCACCATCTACTGTACACATTAAAGCAATCACTGCTTTACTTTCAATTAAACTTCATTCAAAAGTTACTATATTGAAACTTGTACTAGTACTCACTTGTCCTGTTTTGAATTATAGCTTTATCTGAGAAGGTCTGAATAGAGTACTTGCTGAAATTGCAGGCTTTGGTTTTCCTTTTGAATGTTGTTGGATTTGATTAAATCCATTATTGCCACATCTAAAGTCTTTCAGCAGAAAAGTCCCCTTTCTACTTGCACCACAAACCTTCAGGTTTTGTTTACAAGCAGACATTCTAATGACTTAAGCAAACATCACCATAGTAAGAACAAATGCAAAGCTATGATGACATCCAAATGTTTCTTACTTGCAGATACAAGCCAGATGGATCTCTACCACTGTTGTATACATCTGGCCTGTACCTGCAAGTAGAAATAGACTTTCAAATTAACACTCCTTTTCTCTCACCAACCCTACATGTAAGAGATTAGCTAAAGAAGCAAGGGGTTCTATACCCCTCCAATGTTTTTTTCTTTTCAATACATCTTTATAACTGTATCAAAACGGTGACTTGCTAATTGAAAAAATGGAATATGTGTTCCATTACAAACACAATATCATATTCTTAAAAATATAATTATATAATACTTGAATAAATTTGTTCACAAAAATATAGTAATTCTGGGCAAACTACTGTACATACCCTTGATGAAGCCCTGATCCATTAAAAAAATCTGGAAATCCAAATCCAAACCCTGGTACTCCAAAGAAAGAATCTTCTCTTCTGTTCACAGCTCCTGTAGAAATAAATAATATTGTTATTTAATTAGCTTTTCCATGAATACTTTAAACCTTTATTTATGGATTTTTTGGAGTAGTCCATATACAACAACATTCTTGTATGCTTATGTTTGCTTCCAAAGTTTGCAATATCAGCTAACACCTAAGAAACTAAAAACCAGAACCATAAAAACAATATGTTAAATTTCATGAAACTTTGGTGCTACAGTGAGTCATTTTGCCTCATTTATGATTTTTTCACAACACCTAACCAATCATAACTGCTAGACTCTTCCAGTTTAATTCTGTATCAAATCACAGCAATGTAACGATGACTTTAGCAAAGTCTACTCCTTTCAAAAGAACACCTTAGCTGTTATTAAGTTCTGGTTTAACACAATTTCATGATAGTTTCATCAACATGTAGTGAAACTGACAACAAAAACACTCTAATTCACAATGCATCCAAAACTATTCATTTCATGACAATGATACAAATGCTAAGCACAACATAGGAAAGATTGAGGAGGGTTGGGGGTAGGGGGGCATAGAATAAGTTAAAAATACTAGAATTAACATTTAGTGGCTTTATTGCCCCAATATTTAGCAGGAGGGGACAAATTCATTTTTGAAGATAATTTTTTTATTTTCAAAAATCTGGAAAACCAGTTGTCACATATAACAGACTGTTTAGTGTAGGTAGTATTATTAATTAATTAAATGTTGTGTTTGCAATCCATTGATGTCGAGGCTATGGAGATTTCTAGAAGGCCTAAGTGATAGTCGTATAAATAGCTGCAACCAGACGAGCGGAAAGAGAGTAAAAGTAAAGTCACGTGAAAGAGAAGTTCAGTCAGAGAAAGCTTAGAAAATGTAAAGTTAACCATCATGAGAACGAATGCCCTAATGGTTGTATGTTAGAGTGAGATTAATAGTTTCAAAGAGATAAGGAGAATAATTCATCCTGTCAAAGGATGTTTTAAACTAACTGAACCCGCCTGCGTGGACTTCGACAAAAGGCAGACGATTATTGGAAGTATGTAAAGCAGATGATTATTGGAAGTTCAGGGTACAACTGCGGTAAATCACACGACGGCGTAAGTGAATTATACACAGATAGTACTGCAATAAAAATAGAGAAAAACGGGTTCAGGCATGTCAACTGAATTCTAAAGCAATTGAATTGGCCTAATTGGACTTTTAACAAGAAGAAGAGAACTGTATAGTGTTTAAGATACAACTATGATCTCCATAGTGTAAAGAATTTTTGCACATACGTTTAACTTGTTTCGAATATATATATTATTATTTTAAAAACATGTGGAGTGCGTGCTGTTCATTCATTGTCAAATTTATCACCAACAAGTCACAGACAACTCCTGTAGAAGAATCCTTAGCCCAACACACCATATATTATATACTATATATATATATATATATATATATATTACTACTAAAAAGTAGTTTCCAACACCAGTAGTTTTTGATTGGTTGTTGTGCGACTGCGCAGCCTAGAGAGAACACTGGTAGTGACTACAGATCTTTTAATTGCTCAACCCAAACACGTCAAACTAACCCTGTCTTTGTCATCTGGAAATTAACAGACTTCTAACATAATGTTCTAAACTATTTTATATCAGGTGAATCATTTGTACTATTTTTATTGATGAAAAATAACTTTAGACAAAAACTCACTGGAGTCACGACCTCTTGACTGCCTGGATTGTCTACCAAAAAAATCTTCAAACGGGTCGTTTTCAAAAAATTCCCTGAAAACGTCTTGTGGATCTCGAAACATAAAACTAAAGAAGTGGTTAAAATCAGGTTCATACATCGCATGTGTGTCATTATGAGTCCTGTGACCTTGCTGACTAAGTAATCCCTCTTTTCCATATTGGTCATATATTCTTCGTTTATTTTCTAGAACAAAAAACAAAAGTTTTTAAACATTTTTTTATTATACTTTAAAACCTTCTTTTTATGTTATTCTAAAAATAAAAGAAACCATACAAATGTAACTGCTGCCCGTAGTGATATTTTGCCATCAGGGAGCTCTGCCAAGTTTACTGATAGGGCAAACAAGTTTTATTGTCCTTTTTTTTTTTCATGTACATAATTTTTTATTCAAAATATTATAAGTAAAATATATCAAAAATTTCTAAATACAGCATGTAGTTTTATTACAAGTACTGGATATGTAATTTATGTTTTTAGTACAATTATTTCAGATATTCCAAATTCTAGAAATCTGGTATCACTGTAAAATAACACCTCGGCGTTAGCGTCAATGCATGTTTCATGTGTAAAAAACATGTATTTTAAAATCAGGTATGGAGTAAACTGTTTTATCATGTGTCCTGAAACAGACTGAAACTACCTTTAATTTGTCTCTTAACTTCATTTACTATCACAGAGTTTTCAATAATAAAATGGAGATCTGCTCTGACTCAACATTACAACATTCATGCTATTTTCTGTGGTGTTGTGGGTGGAAATGTTTTGTCATTTTATGAAATTTATTACACAACAAATTGAGTTGGATGTAGCATCACCTGTCTGCAAAACTGTGTCTACCTGAAACGAACGACTCGTGATGAAAATATCACAGGCAAACTACTGCAATATGGAAAACATTATTACAAGTAGCATGTAATAAATGAGAAAATGAAAAACAAGTCCGATATTTCTATATTTTGAGTAAAATATATGGAAAATATTTTTTTCCAAGTGGTTTCCCAGGACTCAAAAACTTTAAGTGGAAGCATAAATACTGACATAAAAGAAAACAACCTCACACAATAAGAAGTTAAAACAGTTATTTTACAAAACTTACATTTTTCACCTGTACCAATACAACTGACATATAAGAGTAATTTTAAAATGACAATACACTCTCTCTATGTGTGTGTGTATATATATATATATGTTTGATTTCAAAACGTTCCTGCAATTGTACAAAACCGATAGGCTTGTTTCTAGCTTGAAAAAAAAAGCATTTGCTCAAAATGTTGCCAAGTAAATAAATTATTAACATAGTACCTTACTATGTACCATATTACCTTATAATATAATTAAAGAGCTCCTGGTTGGACCCTCATTTTGGTTAGTAACCTTACAGATGTTAAATTTTACTTATACTAAGTATAACATAGATAAATCAAATAAGCATATAATTCTCAACTTCATATTTACCTGACTTTTATATTTATAAGTTTGAATGTTAATGATTTTTTTTCCAAAATCTCAAGTTCCAATGTATAAAGATTATACATATAGAGGTTAAATATGTTACATTAAAATGATATTGGAGTCTCACCACATCTTTATAGTCAATACATTCAGTTATGTCTTATCTTCTGATGACTGTGCACCTTGTCAATGACCTTACAATGTAATTTCCACTGCAAAAGGCTCTGTCATATCCAAAGCACATCACTTTTCTCTGTAGTCTTTTCATAAGCCATCTGACTCAGTAGTTCTCAATCTTTTGCCACTGACCTTTGTATTTGTGGATTTTCACTTGTTACAAGATACCACACTTACCATGGCTGGTGTACGGTTTGTTGCAGGTCTCTTTCTGGATGGTCATGGTGCTCCAAGTTGATTCATATTCCTTTATTTTTCAATGCCATTAAGTACAAAGTATATCCCCATCTTAGAAATCCTAAATCCCTGATCTGAACACATCTTTATTTTGAGTAGATGGACATTTTGCATCAGAAAAAAAACTGTTACTTATCCTTCAAAATTGATCAAATGTTGACAAACTCACACTACCCACAAAATCCCAACCAATGTGACTGTATATATACTGGCTAGTGGCTGTAATTGTCACATAACTTCCAAAATCAAAATTATTTTAACATATGGAGAGAAATCTTTGCATAAAGGTTATAACTCATTATTTGGGTTGAGTTGTAATGCAAAGTTGTTTAGATTATTCTCATCACAATGAATGAAGGTGTAGCTGTTCCTGAAGTTATAGCTGGGTGATTGATAAATGAATAATTATTAGGCTCATTAATCTATTACATGTCTAATTGAATATTATCTCAAGAGTGCTATAGAAAAAAAAAAATGGTACAAATTAGGTCTTTAGTACACACAGAACTAGCTGTGAAGCTTGGTGCTTAACAATAAACATGATGGCAGTATTTCTTGGATAGTTGAAATATAAACAATAATAATCGACAAACCTAATTTTGATAAGTTGATTATTTTTGTGACTGTAACTGATTTTATGATAATTTTGATAACTGGATGGTTGGAATAATATTCAGAAACACTGGTTGAATATTTTTTTGACATTAATTGACACTCAAAGGTACTCGATTATACCGATTACTCTGGTTAATTACCCAACACGGCTTAATGCATACAGTTACTTAATGTGACCATTTCTGATCATGTCAACTGAAAGTAACAAGTATTTATATTACACGACAATAGACCAAAATGACTTGTATTTAAAAGTAACAACAGTAAATTCTACTGTATTAAAATATCTTAATTAATGTCAAATTCTTAGTTACCCTATAAAAGAAAAACAGTGGGAATGGAATTACCCAACAAAACAGAGAAAAAATTTAAAACATTCCACATTAAACCATTAACACCACACACACACACAGACGTGTACATTAAACATACCATCTGATAATACTTCATAAGCTTCAGAGATTTCCTTAAACATGAATTCTGCTACTTCCTTCTGATCAGGATTTTTGTCTGGATGCCATTTCAAGGCAAGCCTACGATACCTAATTCACAAATATACAGAAAGAGCTGAAGCAAGTAGAAAGCCAACTTCACTAAATGTTTATCTTAGTTTCTTATACACAGTACACGCCACAAAATAATGTCCAACAATACTGTAATAATTATTTTCTTTGTGACATTGTATTTTGTTCATCTTAAAATAATTTTGCTCTTTAGGAATCTTTAAAAGTTTTTACACGTGAATTGCTGTTATTTTTACATTCATATACCTAAACGTGTACTTTAAAACGTTTTATAATTTTGATAAAAAAACAATAAAAAATTAAATATTTCAAAAAAACATCATATTAGTATTGAAAAAAAACAATTTAACATGCAATACAGATTATTACGACACTGCCTTGTAATAAAACTTTGATCTTAAAGTATTACGTAACAAGCTGTGGTCATCAAAATATGAGTAAAATGAAAATGACGTCAAATAAATTTCCAATGGAAATTTCACACACTTTCTCGTAAACACGCGTTCCAAAAGTCAATCTTATATAAATATTAGTACTTAATATATTTGGATTATGTAGAAGTACATTACAATTTTATAATTGCCTTTCTTTCTGAGAAGTTACAGGTAGATGTTCACAGTATCCAACGTATATTGACATTTTCTCCTATATTCAAATTTTTGTGATTTGCAAAAAACTACCAAAGGCTAGCATACACAATTTTAACCAGCAAAGTTGAAATTTGATTTTTGTTGCATAAATATATCAATATAAATTACAAACTTGTTTCCTTACGCTTTTTTTATTTCTTCCGGAGTTGCCGCACGTTTAATTCCAAGAACTTCGTAATACTCAGCCATCTTCGAGCAGAACTGCAAAAACTACAGTTTGCTCTAAACTATCAAGAGGTCTATCAATAGCTGAAACTCTGCAAATTACACAATTAAAAAAATATGTTACCTAATAATCTATGAGAATTTGAAAATGTTACTTGTATGTGTTATACTTTGAAATATCTGAATATGCAGTTCAAGCAGGATTTCATCCCGGACTAGGATGAAGCAAATAAATAATTCATAAACATCATCTTATTACTTATATTGTTGTAAACTATACTTTCGATGTTTTAATTTAGTTGTTTGCAAGACATATCTGTTAACATGATGGTGTTAAATCCAGAAAGTTTATAATAGTAGTCTTAGAGCATCTAGAATATTAATGATCAAGAAACTATGCAAAATATACAGAAAAAAGGATACATTATAAATATCAGAATGAGTAAAGCATTGAGTTCAGTTTCAGTTGTTCAGTGTTTGAGAAGTTAGTGAAGTATTCAGATCAGTCTTAGTTATTATATATATATATTTATTCAGTTACTCAGTCGACTAGCTGAGTTAATTTGTATTTTAGTCATAGTCCCATTAGCGAGTAAGTTTCTGTTGAAAGAGAAAACAATATCTATACATTTAGGCCTAAAACTATGTACAAATGATAGTAGCCTGTAGCAAGTGTTAAGAAAGAAATTAACTTATAATTACTACTATAATCTAAAGGAGAAAGCCAAACAACAGAAGTAATAGAACACATTACACACCATTATTCATTTTTAAAAATATTTACCTATGAAAATAGCTTGTTTTGGTAATATAATGTATAATTTCAAAATCATACAAAGGTTATCCACAAATGCATTTAAGGTGTCACATTAGACAATTTTTTTTATTCAAAAAACTCTAAAGCCCTATTTAAAAATCATAACATATACAGAGCCATAAGACATACACAAAACAACAAACTAACACATATGGTACCAAGGTTCATGTATTAAATATGATCAACAACTCAAATTCTTAAGATCATGACCTGTTTTTTTAGTCTTAAGCATGTTTCAAAAATAGGTCAAGTTCAGTAAATCTACGAAGAAAAATATTGAACAACATGTAGATATCATTAAGCATTATTAAGTAATTTCACCATGACTTGTGATCAAGCAGCATTATAACAGCTAGTAAAGTTTCATGATCATAAAAGACAAACAGTAAAATAGCTACAACAACATCAGTAGTACAACTTAGTTGTTTGTATTGTCTTTAGTGGTACTATTCACTTCAGTGTAACATTTTAATTCACTCGCAACTTAGTTAGAAAGCCAGTTAAATTACAATAGATAATTAAAGGACATTATGTTTTTTGTCTGTTATTATTTTATAAATTGAATATTTGAAATAAATAAAAATTCTGTAAAGTACTAACAGCAACAATACCAAAAATTAGTGTTAACTATGACTGAAACTTCGTCTGCAAAAACGTACAAGACTCACTCATAAGCACTAAATTTCTTGTTTTTTTAAGTATATTTTTTATTTATTGTTATAAAAGTAAAAAAAATGTACAAATTAAAAACTTATTAGGTTAGATAAGAAAAAATAATTTAAAAAAGAAAATCAAAAAATTTCTCAGTGAGATATGATCTTAAGTTGCACATGCATTTTGTAGTTAATTATTTTATTTACCTTAACTTGAATAACCTGGGTTGCCAGATGATTTCTCAGAGGTTATGTAAATGAAATTTGAAAACCACATAATGAAAAAAAATGTCTTTATAAAACTTAGCATGAAAAATCATCTTGCACTCAAACTTGTCAGACCCGACTTCATATTTCAGACAAATCTTTAGTAAAAATACTTAATTGAAAAATGTGATTTTTGTGTTTTAAAAAGATTTGTAATATTTACTACAAGCATGCCAAATTTCATGAGGGTACACAAATTATATTAAAAGTTCACGTCTTCAAGGTTCCAAATATAAAGGTAAAGTAAACTGATGATGAGGTACACATTATCTTAAGACTCGGCACCACAAAAAACTCGGCCCTAATATGTCCGCTCCTTTTTATTATTACTGATTTGACAACTGACTACTTTTACGCTTCCTATTGTAGTTAATATTCATCGTAGGTACAGAGCATGAGGATAATGGATCACAAAGATGGCATGTTTCTTTTGTTTGTTTTTAGTGTTCATCACATACTCTGCCAGTTACTAATGTTTCCAAGTTGTGTTGAAATCAGCTCAACTAATGTAGCTAAACTGTTTACTAATAATTACTATTGCACTTTTTCGATTATGTTTCATAATTTTTTTTAGCCAAATTCTTAATAAAATATCCCACTTTTTCGCAGCCAAGGGTCTTAAAAAAAGCAGTTAAAAACAAGCTGAAAATTGTTTCCCCTGATAGGCTGTAGAAATATGTCAATGAGAAGATAGCTTTATTTCTTACTTATGGAAATAATAAGTATTAAGGGGTCTGCAGAAAAATAAAGGTAGCTTATTCAGCGATATGTCCCCTAAAATCAAACGAGATTCTTCAAGTAGCAACTTTGTAAATGAGACCTCAGAAAGGAAGTAATCCATCCCCAGCAGAAAAAAAACTATAATGGATCAATAACCTCTAGACTACACAACCATCATTAAGAACAATCCCAGTGATCATAATACTTTCCTCCACCCAATCATCATCTATTCAGGAGAGAAAACTGACAGATTTGCTTTCTGTGGTAACTGAAAAGTCACTCATGGAACATTCACACAATCTAGGGAGTGGTCAGTGTAATGCTATATTTCAAAGTTTTTCTAAGATATTTCACATTCCGAGTTTCATAAAATGCCCTAATTTTTCTCTTTTTCTTCGGTATAAACTAGGTTACAAGGTTGACCAATGCACATTGTGTTATATATTGCTAAGTCTGGGATTTTTTGAAAAAAAAAGAATAGTAGAACTTAGAAGGAAATGATACATTATATTACAAAATAAGTTACTACAAGTTCTTTAACAAAAATGTTCGACTATGTAAGAATTAACTGCAATGGAGAAGTTGAGAAAATTTTCAAGAAGTTAAAATAAATAACCATTAGCTAAATTTTGTCCAGACTGTGAATTTTTTTTTACTGCATGGAGAATACGTATCCAGGAGACAAAATAAAGTGTAAACATTTCTGATGTCATTCTGTCATATTTAATCTCTTGCCCAAAAAATAGTTGCATCAAAAACTGACATAACAGACCTCAAGCCTACTTTGTTTAGTTTAAAGAATCATTTATTTGCATATTATCATACACAACCGGAATAAGCAGAGAGAAAACTGAACAAATGAATATATCACAGATTATGGTGCAATACCAGAAATCTTGCATGGACAGATTTTATTCAGTAAAAAAGTCTGGAACTTCCTTTCAAAGCACAAGCTTCACATAAACTATGACAGTATATTATAATTCACATAATTTACTGAAGCTTAAAGTAACTCGTGCAAACTATAAAAAGATGTTGACACTGACAAAATCAAAAACAGACTCATTATTGCATTCATTTATCTGTTCTATCTGATTAACTTCATTTTGAGGTTGTTTTGCAAGAATTAATTTCTATATTCGTTTTTATACATATTTAAAACTTCCTTAAGTTCACTATTAGTATATTAGCATTAACCATTTACCATCAGTAATTAAATGTAACTTGAAGTATAGGCTAAAAGTAAAACGTTAGGCAAAAGATAAAAATTCTACTCGTTTTTCCTAACTTCTAATTTCAATGCAGAGAACACACACTTTTAATAAAAATTAAAAATAAAAGTATTAAAACTAATAGTATTAATAATATGATTAACTTATTAAGACTATAAATAAGAATATAGCTTTAAGTTTTAACTTTAAGACTTCAAAGTTCAATTATAACTTGTAAGTTAGTAAAACTGACCCCTTGAAACAACGAAAGTAAAACTGACTTTTTGACACAATTTAACAGTGACAAGTTTAAGTATTAATTTATAATGATACTCTTAACTAATAGAAGACAGTTACGGTTAGGCATGAAGTATTAATGTCTTAATACCAATAGTAATTATATTAGGCTTAGCGTTAAATTACTATTACTATCGTACTCACAGTATTACAATTTTTACATTTACAAATTACAATTACTATATAGTATACACAGCACAAACAAAATGATAAACTTAAAAACTAGGTCCATTTAACTTCCAATTGTTAGTGTTACTACTACGTTAAATAAATACATAAGAAAGTTATAAACAAACGCATTACTTAAAACAGTAAATATATTTTTAAAATTACAACTTAAAACCTACGTTGTTTTCTTTACACGAATGTTATCTCGTCGTTATAACATCAACTTCCAAAGCCTTGCGAAAACAACACGCACCCAAATCATCAACGTCAATCGAATACACTGTGAAGGCACCTCTACGTATACAGTACACAAACCTTAAAAATAAAGTAAAATAAAAATTAACGTACCAACTGCAAAAATAAAATCAGTCTTGAAAAATGTCATTAATAAATGTATTTAAAATTGTAGATGAAACTTTAGAAGCTTTGTTGTTATTAGATTATTTTTCTTTAAGACATATGCAGGTGATGTCACCGAAAATAGATCGACTTTGGGAAGAATATGTAATAGCCCTTTCCGACACAAATCATTCATACCTTTGGATCAAATCAAATGTGTTCAGATCGGGGATTTACAATTTTCAATATGAGGATATTTGGTTTGGTTAGTTTTAGATTTCGCGAAAGCTACTCGAGGGCTATTTTCGCTAGCCATCTTTAATTTAACTGTGATAAACTAGAGGGAAGGCAGCTAGTCAACACCACTCACCACCAACTCTTGAGCTACTCATTTTACTGATGAATAATGGGATTGGCCGTCACATTATAGCTCTCCCACGGCTGAAAGGGCGAGCATGTTCAGTGACGGGGATTCGAACCCGTAGGTTGCGAGTCGAGCGCCCCAACCACCTGGTCATGCCAACCCTCAAGATGGGAATGTCTATTGTACTTAATAGCATTTGAAAATATATACATACATATATATAAAGATAAACTTGGGGAACCAGAAATATCCAGAAAGACACCTGCAACAAGTTGTACCCCAACCATAGTATGTAAAATGCGATGTCTTGTAATAGGTTAGAAAAGCCGTTCACGTGCCCCAGGCAACAGTACATAACATAGTCATGAAGGATCTCTGTCTGAAAAAACAACACAAGGTACTTCCATAACACATCCGTTGAACCATTTCGTACATCACCCCGCTGGAAAATGAAACGGGTATTTATGTTTTTCCATATTGTTATAAGCTATATCTTTAATACTACAATTTGTTTGT